TGTGTGTGTGTGTGTGTGTGTGTGTGTGTGTGTGTGTGTGTGTGTGTGTGTGTGTGTGTGGTGTTGTGTTGTGAAGATCTGCAACTGAATCACATTCCTGACTGATTACATGAGCTCACTCCTCGTTCAAACTCCTCCAGAAGTTTGTTCATCCTTCTTTTGTCTACGACTGAGCAGGTTTGTTTAGTTTTTGTTTCCTACCTGTTTGTGAGTCCGTTCCAGCCCCACCACACCGATCCTGTGTCCTGTGTGCTCCTCTGAGGCGCACCGAGCACAGATGAGGACCTCATCTGTGCAGCAGTAAACGTCCAGGGGTCTGGTGTGGCGCCAGCACCAGGTCCCGCCAGATGTTTCTGCACCAGTCCAGGCTCTCTTTGGTGACGGCCCGCCCGGACGCTGCTCTCCTCTCTTCCCGCTCGCTCTCCTCATCGTGTCTTCCACCACCTCCGCCAGAGTTGTGTTTCTGATGGGCGTGGGTCTGGAGGGAAACCCCTGCTGACATTCAGGGCAGCTGTAGCCGGTCTGGACTCCGTCCCAGCAGCCGTCGATGCATCGCAGGCAGAAGTTGTGTCCGCAGGGGATGGTCACGGGTTCCTGCAGGAGGTCTGAGCAGATCCGACAGCAGAGCCGGTTTATGCTGACAGGAACGTGAGGCTCTGCCATGTTTGTGTGAAGGAAGGCGGGTTCAGTTTCACACTCTTGTTTCGTTTCCTGAGAAATCGACTCTGAAACCACATCATGATTTGTTTTCAAAGTGAAAGAGGGCGTGGCTAAAATATCTGAATCCATTTCAACATAAAGTGTTGGCCAACAACAGGAAGTAGCACTTATTTGAATACAGATCTGTGTAAAAGTTTTAAAACACTGTTTTTACTTTGCTTCCTAACAGACAGAATATTTTTTGAATTATTAAAAATGATCTGGATGTATACAACTTTACCTTAAATATTAAGTTTTATTAAAGTCAGCGTAGTGGCTGAGGAAGAAAATGTGTTTTATACATTACTTTGAATGTACACAAATATCTAACAAATTACTGATAAACAAATGATCAAGGCTGCCAACTTTATCTACAGTACTTACATGTAATATTTTAAATACATTTATCCTGCACCCCTTTCCTGATATTGTTTATTTTCCTGTTTAAATGACTGATAAGCTTTATTTTTATTCCTATCTTGTGTTGGTGTGCTCCTGCCTGAAAAATGCTAAAACTAATATTTGACTAAAACGATCCACCATGAAAGACGGTACAATTTTATTACAGTATTTAAGTCCATGTAAAACAAAGAAAAAAAGTCATGATAAATATGTTTCACAATTTACACGTATTTATAATTTTTTAACCTTTCTAATAAAAAACAAATCAAACAAACTATGAAGGTTTGAGTTGAAACAAAAAAGAAAATTGTTCTGTAATGCTTAATGATTGAATGTTTTCTGCTTCAGTTAAAAAAAAAAAGGCGAACAGTGAAAACTAGTAATGTTTCTCTTTCACACACGAGCCGGTTTCTTACTGCAGGTCAAAGGTCGAAGCTGCTCTTCATCGCTTGTCGTGTCGGTCAGAACACAGAGGTCCCAGAGCGAAGGCAACAAGTCCGAGCTCAACAGAGACGCTCAGAACGAATTTAGAAATGAGGACAATTTCAGAAACAGCAGCTCACAATCCTGAAACAACAATCAAGTGAAATATTTTTACCACACAGATTCTTCCAGAGGGACGTAAAATTACAGCGAACCCAGGAGTGAGATACACTTAAAGAGAAGCCTCGTCTTTTGAGAGTCGATACGTAAAATTTACTAAAGATATTTTGTTAAAGCTGAGAGTGAACAAACCGTCAGCTCATTTACTGACCTGCTGGGGCAGAAACAGAGGCACAGAACATAAAAGAAATCCCTGTAAATGTAAAACTAGGACTAGAATTGAGCCCACAGGTTCAGTTTAGTTATAAAGTCTGTGAAACGTTTTGGCTGAGAGAAAAACCTCTTTAAAATATTGGGTTACATCACATTAACACTAAACGTCTTGAAGTTTGTGTCTGAATCCTCAAAGTCGCCTTCTGAGAGGGAAATCCATCCGTCAGGTCGTAACGCTGTGACTAAACTTGGATCAGAGAGAAGAAGTTGTTCTGAGCCGTTCTCTCACTGCAGCAGTTCTTCCCAGGAAATGGGTTTGGAGAAGACCTCGCGCTCCAGCCAAAGGTCATAGTTCATTTGGAAGTCCTCGGGCAGGTCCACTCGTTGTCCCAGGACGCTCTGCAGGCAGTTGTCCACAGGCAGGAAGTCTGGATTACTGTGGCTCTTGTCGTAGCGGCGGCTGTTGAAGCGTTCGATGCTGGCCCGCAGAGCGCACTCCTCGGCCTGGAAGTCCCAGGGACGAGCGTCTAGATCTGTTCCCCCCCACCAGGAAACAAGACTGCAGGTCAAACTCAGTCCTGAGGAAACATGGCTAAACAAGAGCTCGAAAACTCTAGTTTTTATTTAGAGGATTCAAAAAAACTGTTTTGTTGATTGTTCAACATCAATAAACTACAAACGAAAAACTAATGAAACAAGAGACGTGTGGCCTCGAAATAAAGCAGGAAATAAGTCAAACAAACAAATCTGTTCCTTTTTTTTCAGGGTTCCTACAGTTTAAAGCAAGTTCAAGACTTTTTAATGCCAAGTGAAATTAAATTTAACACCAATTTCATAATAAACACAAATGACAAAACATAAAAACTGGCAGAAACTCATGAATCAAAGTGTTTTTGGTTGAAGTATTCAAATATTACTAACAGACCAATTGTTTTTATTCATATCTAACTATAGCAGAAACATTCTTAGCAGTCAGTTTTAAACTTAATTTTATTTCAGGAAATCCTCTAACGACCCAAAATTTGGAGTTTTAGGACCCACAGTGGGGTCTTAACCTCAAACTGCTGTAGATGAAACCTTAAAGTGTGACATCAAGTTTTTATAAGAAAAGTGAATGTATTTTTGGAAAGACAATATTAACATATTATAAAACAAATTTCACATTGCTCAGATGGACAGTTGTTGAGATGTTTGCATGTGAAATAACAGGAAGTGATGTCAAAGGGGAATGTCTGCATGTGAATATTTAAAAAAATATTTTTTTACCAATTATTTTAATATTTGAGATGAATTACAATCATCCTATTTATAATGTGTTAACATTTTTAAGATTTCTGAAAGACTGATTTAAGACATTTTAAGGCTAATTAAGGCCTTATTTTTGGATTGATGTATTCAATGACTTTTAAGACTTTTTAAGGCTCTGCAGGAACCCTGTAATTGTAAATATTGTTCATAATTATAGTTGTGTCTGTAATCATCGTGTTTAAGTAAATCTGTAACAATAAAGCAAACATAACTACCATAAAACATACAGCAGACTTACCATCTTTGCCACTCAAAGCTACAAATAATTAAGACTGCTAAACTCTCCTGTCACACTAGTATTTATCCATCTTTAAACTGATTATTAACAAAAAATAAATCAATTTGGACCAAAAAAAAGGTCTTTCCATCCTACTCACCGTTTCCGTAAGCCCAGTCGTCATTCAGTCGGTGTCTGACTTTCTGATAAATGGCAGACATGGTCTTCATGTTGCTCTTCCTCCACTGCCGGCCCAAGTATTTGGTCTGTACTTTGAGCAGCTTGAGGACGTAGAGCTGCATCATGGCCTGCTTGACCTTCAGCGCCCTCTTCAGGATGGGAGCCGACTTAAACACGACCAACATCTGGGAGGAGAAAAGTCCGTTACAAACACCCCAACTGTAAATTTAGCAAAGAGCACCCAGAAACAATCAGTCATTTATTCTGGAATTATTGGATCACCAAGACATTTTGGAAGCAATGTAATAATTTTATCATTTGTAATACTGACACTAATTTCTCATTAAGGTATGAACACATTATTTTTGGTTTTCATGGAAAGAATATTAACATTAAAAAACTAGCAATTAATCTAATATTTGGCAAATTCCATATTCACAAATATAAATTTTCATCATCTTCACTTTTTTCCAGGTTTGATTAAAGAAATAGAATAGTATTTATGCACTCTCTCTAAAAGTACCAACAAAAAAGCTATAAACATGTTTTAATGTTGTAGCTCTTTAAACATATTTAATTTATGATGTTTTTTAATGTACTAAATGTAGAAACTTATCCCCCTGGCATAGCTGGTTTTGTTTTGTTGTTCCTTGTTCTCCTGTTCTGTTTATATATTTGTAATTATATTGACCTGTGCAAAGAATTTTTTAATTTAAAAAAAAGTTTGTTACAAACACGTACGTGTGAGGTTTGGAATAATTTGGATGTGAAGTTCTCTCACCATCGTCCTGGAGTGCTTCCACTTGGTCAGTTTGTTCAGGATCCTCAGCAGGTTAATGCAGGAAAACAGATTCCTCCAGCAGAACTGAGTGTTGTCTCCAGCTTCCTGTAACGCAGACATTAAGTATCCAAAAACTGAAACTACCAGTGAAAGCTGCAACAATGAAAAACTCACCAAACTCTCTGCAGTTAACTCTGGGAGCTCGTGCACCACGCAGTTTGGAAAATCAAGAACAGAAATGCTGTTGGAGAAACATTTAATGCAAAACATTAACAAAGAAATAACGCTTCTAAATAAACAAACAGAAGACCAAATAAGTACCTGTTTTTAGCGGTGATGTAGGACATGATGTTCTGGTTGAAAAACTTCAGGATGAGTGGGATRCAGTTTGCAAACACCAGGTGCTGAGCCATGTACTCAAACTGTAACATCCACGCAGAGACAGGTTTCAGCTCAACGTGAAACATGTGACATACTGTATGTGACGGCAGCTGTGAGGAGCTCTCACCTGGTAGATGTGATTCAGTTTAAAGTGCTTCAGAAGCAGCAGCAGGATGGCAGAGATGGCTTTAACGATGATTTCTTTGTGCCGGTTGACGTCAACGCCGAGTTTCATGCTCTGCAGAACCGTCGTCCTGCGGAGGGAGACAGGAGAGGACAAGGGTCTCTCAGTAAGTAGTTTACAAACCTTTTAGAAACACCTGATGCACTCTTTCTACGAAACTGACATCCTCTCACTGTGGACGTGAGCTGAACAACATGACTGCAACTCATTTCTCTTTTATTAGTTTTAAAAATAATCTTTAAAAATATCTTAAATCTACTCAATGTTGCAATCACTGAATTGCACTGGGTAATCGATTTTAGAGTTTGCTACTGGTTGTGTGCGTTGGGAGGGTGGGGTGGAGGTGGGCATGATTACCTTTGTTAAATGTTTATGTCTTTTTCTTTGGTTGTTTTTATTGCTCATCGGTGATGTTTGTTGTCTGGTGGAAATGCAGATGTCGGATTGCCCTATCGCTGGATTGGGTGCAATGTGCCAGATGTTTTTCAGGTGGGGATGTGGAGACCTGCAGTTCTTTGGTTGGTTTCTGGGGTGATCATGTGGAATATCTCAAATCTACTTAATAATGCAATTACAATTTTTTTATTGGATGTTTAGTGATATATAACTTTTTAATTATGTTTGGAGAGCGGGGTGGTGTGTTTATGTATTTTTATTATTAATTGCAAAATGTTTTATTTTATATTTTTTTTAAATTTCAGTTTTTTTTCCTTATTTCTATTACTGTTGGATGTTTTGTTTTAACTATCTGAAGGACTACAGATGTAAATTAGCCTTAGGCTAAATCTGATGCAATGCATCAAATTATGTTTTAACGGCACACTGTCCTGAACAAATAAATTCATTCATTCAAATCAGAAACATACTGCAGAATTTCTTTACTAAAACACATTTTTGTTTTAAAAAATATAAACTATTAAAACTTTCCACTTAAATAGCTCAAATCGTTTTAAACAGGGTTCTGAGCAAAGTTTATCAACAATATCTTACCTGTTGTAAACATCTCTCAGAATGACCTCACTTTTTTTTTTTTTTACAAATTACAAAGTAATTTTGCTTTACTTGGTTAATGAGAAAGCAATCTGAGCCATCTACCACAGGTAAGATATTAATTGTTTGTAACCTTTCTGCACAGTCATACTTTAAAAGGTCTGAGCTACAGCTTTACCATATTTGCTTAACTTTGTTTACTCCACTTACGGCATCTCCTCTGGCAGCACGTCGGCCAAGATGTTAATGGAGTCTGTTTTGGCTTTGGATGTCGGCGCAGCAGCCAACAGGATCTTCAGCAGCGCAATCTAACATTCAGACAGAGACGCCAGCCCAAGATTAGGACAAAAAGAAATGACTTAACACGGTTTAAGTCATATCGATGAAATGTCCACACAGTGACACAAAGTAACCCCTGTCCTGAAACACGAACCATGTACTGAGGCAAACTGGGCAGGATTCCCTGATAGAGCAGCTCAGTGGCGCACATCTCCACTTCCTCTTCACCCTGCCAGCGAGAAGCCAGAAAGGACGAGATGAAAAGTTAAAGCAATCAAACCTGTTTCACAACAACCACTTCAGACGATGAGGAACAATCACTGTTTAGACCTGCCTTTTSTAATACAGCAGATTTAATTCTCACTTACAACAGAGAGGGGAGTTTTCTGGTATTCTTCCTCTTTTGCAATCTGGAGTTCGGCTATAGAAACATACTTGTGCTGGAAATCGAGGGAAGTCACATCACGTGTGTTAACGTAAAGCTGACCAGCAGGAAAAGAATCACAGATGTAACGAGCTGCATGTTCGCTGACCTGTTTTAGTGTCCTGATGCTCTCGTGAATCGGCCTGGGTAAACCAACCACTGTGTCTGTATCACTGCCAGACGCACGCACGAGCAAAGAAAACAAAGCTTTATTGTCTCAGAACGTGTACATAAAGGTGAGCTGTGTCACTTACAGGCTGCTTTTGATTAGACTCACCTCCCCAGTGTGTAACCGATGAATTTACTTCTACTTGATTCTAGAAACGTTTCAATGTCTTTTTCCCTGTTGGAGCAAAGAAAAAAAAGAAGAACTCAGGAGTATCCAATCCTGGTGCCTAGAGCAGAGGAACCTCTAAACCATGCAGGACAGTGATCACTGAGGACCAGGATTTAACACTTTTGAAGAATAATCACAAAATCTGATATACAGTTAATCAGCTTTAACTGATGGGATTGAACAGTACCTGACTTTAGGAGCCCAAGGCAGACCTTTAGGGAAGGACACCCTCTCTGATGGAGGGTGAGGAATGGGGGGAGGCATCACCTCGTCTCTCTCTATAGGAAAAGTCTCCGGCTCTAAAGAGTTGTCGTTGTCATCGTTGTCGTCCTCGTCATCTCGGGAATCATCGGCCTTGTAGGGATCCTTCTCATTGAAAGCATCCAGGTTGTCCTGTTTGATCAGAGCCTGAGGCCGCCAAAAACAAACAGTGAGTTTATCATTACACTGGGATTAAAACAAACATAAAGTGTCACCTGTTCAGATTGATTTGTCTCAGTTAGGAACAAGAAGGTTTCACACGAGGCTGTATATTTTCCCAGAACGTCTGCAGAAGCTGCACCTTGTGTTCGCGTCGAGCTCGTTTCTGCTGCTGCTCGATGAGGTCGGACGCCGACGCCGGCGGCGAAGCTGCCCTCATGCTGCGAATGACTCGAATGCTGTCCTCCGGGAGAGGGGGGAGACCCAGCTCCTCGCGTTTACAGACCTTGATGCTTTGAAGCTGCTCAAACCCTCCGAGCGTGAACTGAAACACAGACGAGAGGAAGACTGTTCAACACAGCACTTCTTTATGGATCAGATACCTTTTTTTAAATATCTAATTTAACGGTTTTCTATCCCGTTCTCACCAGTATGCTCTTCCACAGCAGCAGGAGGACCTTCTTCATTGGAAAGTGAGGAGCATGGCCGCTGCAGAACTTGGTAACCATACCAAAGAGCATGACAGAAATGGGCTCGTTGTTGAAAAGAGGAGATCCTGAATGAAAACAGCAGAATTTAATTACCCCAAATACCAAACTTGATGTCATATCAAAGGAATATTTACCCAGTTCTGCTCTGAAGGTTTCCCTCAAGATTTTCCACTCAGGCTTATTGGCTGGATCATCCTGTTGGATCGTCTCTACGATCAGATACATTATATTAAGCAGAACCCTGAGATCTGTGCTGTCAGCGAGGGAGATGGCCGGTTTTCTGACTGCACTGCTGCAGGCAGCGCTGTTACTGAAAAACAGAAGGCAAATCAAACATTTTCAACATAAAATCAACTGACTGGAAGCTTCACAAAGTAAAGAAGTTTATTTGCTTGTTTTTCTCATTGTGATGCAACAAAAATGTGTTTTTTTTCCAGCTGAAGTACTATTTTATCCATCCAAAGTTACAAAATGCACGTCTAATAACTGCTTTTAATTTCAATCTATGAAATGTACTGGCTGCCATATGATTATAATTTGACTAAAATGTACTCATGCAGGACATACTCAATCTCCATGTTCAGTAGTTCTACCAGAGCAGAGAAGGTCCCCACATCAAGCAGCAGAAAAATGTTGTATCTCATCCAGTGCTGCACCTCAGCCTCAGAGCTACAATCTCCAAAAGTCCCTGCAAAAGAATAAGACTGGTGTTCAGAGTCATATGCGCAGAAATAAATATACACTGATCGTTGCAGGTGAAGTGAAAGCTGATGTGCACGGACCCTGAGCCATGTAGAGAATGGCCCTAGCAACCTTCAGTCGTTTCTCACGAGCAATGACCTCCAGGCCGTCCAGGAGACGCATGGCGTGAGCTCTGTGCTCAGCTGCGTCCAGCTCCGTCCACTTTTTATCAGTCACTGAAGCACAGGAGGGAAATATTAAAATATGCTGTTAAACAAATACCTTCATCTGGTGTCATGTATTCATAACGACATACCATGAGCTCTGAATTCATCTTCAAAGCACTTCCTGTTGAGAGCAAACTCTGGTCCTTCTGTGTAACTGTAAAGCTCTGAAACATTACAAAAAGGACAAAAATTTACTGATGCGTGAATCTGAATGAATGGCACATCCACAAATCACAAACATACACACCTGACAGCTCTGCAGCCCATTTGTCTGTATCAGAATATTCAAACTCAAAATCTGGGGACTCCGACAGCCCCTGTGCACAACACATGAAATCACACATCATTGAGACATATTTTATTCCAAAGAATTGCATTGAATCCACTGTTACACAAGTTTCTCTCTCTCACACTGTCACCTGACCTGCGTTTATGCTTGGTTAGAAAGCACTGACAACAATGATGATAAAGTAGTCATACACTATCTATGTTCATCTCATAAAACACCCATTCTGGCATATATTCAGCAAAACTGCACTGTCATTGCTAAATAAATAAATAATCAAAGTGTATCACGTAAAAACTAGCCGAAACACACAAGATCATTGATTCAGACAGTTTGGCCTGTTTGGCAACAGCTAGCTTCTTCCTGCTAACCTAGGCTGATGTTTAACACAAGAATACGTTAACAGATGGCAGGAACTGTATATTCTTGTATTTCACAGCTACGCAAACATTCGCGTTAGTTTAGTTCGGTTGCCGCCGTGTTAAAGCAGGACTATTCGTGCTAAAAGATATATTAGTTAAGCTACTCTGACAGCTAAGCTAACGTTAGCCTGGTCTGTTTTCTGAAACCTCCTAAAGAAAGTAAACATTAGTCTTTTCTTTACGTACCTCTGAGTCTTTCCTTGAATTTCGAGGGAATTCACCCCGGCTTTTATTAGGTAGCATCACTCTTTGTTTGTTGTTTATAGGCAGCCCACCACCATTCCCACCGACTTCCATCATTAAAAGGTGAACTCTCACAGAACAGCTGTCATCTCGCGAGAGTTCATCTAAAACGTCAGCACAGAGACTATCCAGTGGTGGGCAYAAYTCCCCTAAACCAGTGGTTCCCAAACTTTTTATCTTCTGACCCACGAAATGTTCATGGCAAAAACTTGTGACCCCAAACATTACTGGTCTGAGTACACAAACTTTGTTAATAACCCTAAAAGCAAAGGCTACACGAATCTAAATACATATTTATACTTATTTTGTGTTTTTGTAATAATTATAGGGAAAATATTACACCACCAATTATTTTATGACCCTTTAAATTGATTTCTGAAGTGCAGTGGTTCCCAAACATTTCAGTTTTTGACCCACAAAATAACAGTAGCAGAGACCTGTGCCCMWAACTATTTTTGGATGATAAACATTTGTATCAGGTMAACTAAACATGGGCATAGTAACAATATTTATTATTCTACATTTATACATTTTAGGCAACTAAGGCAAAAATGTAATTAATTAAGAAAATCTTTTCAGGACCCCACCTTGATGTTTCAGGACCCCACTTTGGGTCCCGACCCCAACTTTGGGAACCACCGCCCTAAACCACTAATAGGGGAACTGTTAGGGCTTTTGTTAAATTTAAAAATTATTAGTGGATTAGCACTTGCTAAATTTAGAAGCACTAACTGAGGTCTATGTTGTAATTGGTTAAATGTTATTGATCAACATAGCTGACGCCGGTGAAAGCCGTGACACATTTTGTTCAAATGTGTGTCACTTATCCACTAGGCGACAATATGTTGATAACATATTAACTCAAATATGGCTGTGGAATGTTATAAGTCTTAAGGGAGAAACATGGTAATATGTGACTCGTCTGTTGAAGAATGTTCATGGATTTTATTGGGTTATTTTAGTGCTTTAGAATTAGCTATTGCTAAACTTTTCAGTGCGTTCGTGGTTTAGAATTAGGGGACCTAAATATTTGAGTTAATATTTTAGGGCTACTGGAACTAATTTTTAATTAGTGCTGCCCATCACTGATTTTTTATATAAATCAGTGATGACAACTGATGGAGAGATGCATAATGACACATATGCATGTGTCACATATGCATAATGACACATATGCATGTGTCATTACACATGTGTAATGACACAGAAAGAGGGGAAAAAATCCTGTCAAAAAGTCACAGATTTATTCTCAATCATTTCTAGATCATCTCATTTTTGCTCCTCTTTTTCAATTATTTTATTGCAAAAGTACAAAGTACACACAACCTGTCCCGCACATGACTGAGTCTCTTCAGCACCCACCTTTCTGAAGAGACAGACAAATGAATCTGCAACACTCCCGCTTTTGCTTTAAGGTCATTTCTGTCTTATATCTGATGCTGAACACCCCGGGCAGCTCCTGCCGAAGGTGGCTGAGCAAAACAATGACCTTTTCATGGTGAGTGTGATTCATACATCTCATCCTTCACAAAGCAACGTTCAGCCAGTTGTGTCTTACATCAGGTACTGACTGTGCCCATGTCCCCGTCATTGCATRACTCTGGTGCTGCCGAACTGCTTATTTTTGTGTCGACAAAAGCACCCTTAATGATAGAAATGTCTGCACTCAAACCAGTTGTGTGGTTATTTTATTGCCAGCAAAGTCATCATAGTTTGAACCAGCATTGTGTTTTTATTGAATTCATGATTTGAAAATTCAAAGTTTGTAAATTACTATCTGAGCTCAGGTCATTAGGACCATTTTTTATTTATTTTGATGCCATTAGGCATATAAATTCCACGTCCACTTTCATGTTACAGGCAGGATTTGTTTAGACTGTGTATAGTCAAAATGAGCAATGGTTCACCAAGAAGTCATTTCTGATTTAAATCCGTTTGAACAACTGTGGTAAACTTGTGACCAGAAGTCATCACCTGCTAACCAAAGTCTGTCACCAAGAACTTCACTCTTCTTTCTTCTCTCTATTATTTTGTTTTTAGACTCCCACTGGACCTTCCAGATGCACTGTAACAGTCTTCCCTCCTGTTCACCATAGATCAGGGGTGTCAAACTCCAGTCCTCGAGGGCCGCTATCC